TTCACACACAAAAAAGAGATCAGCCTTGCTGGACTAAAATGTTTTATTTATTGTAATGCTTTAGTGGGGGAAGACCCAGTTCATGCATTCATTATCATAAAGGCCCCGAGACATTCCGCACAAAGAGCGAGACGAGTTACGTGCCTTCTACGACACCTAAAGAACGTGCAGGTGGAGGAACGACTAGCTGTGGCGATGTGACAGAAGATGACAATGTCAAAGAACTGCCATCTCTAGCACATAAACTGTCCCTGAAGCAGACACTTAAGGGAGATGTAAAGTGCTACACATCTCTGCGTTGTTTTCACTCTCATGAACTTGTTTTTAATATGGTACGATGAATGTGTCAGGGCCCCCAGGCGGTAAATGGTGGATGACAAATGTTACTGCAAGCAAACCCACTGTAGGCTGACCATATTGTACCTGTGCCGGTCTTCTTGATGCTCCTTTTTATCAAAAAGCTCAAAGAAGAAACGCTTCTTTTGTCACCCTCTCTTTTGTGTTGTATGTGAGCATGTGCTCGGTGGATGCAGTAAAACAGATGTTGAAGATTCTCGCAAAGACTCGATAAAAAAGACCGTGGAGGCCCTCTTTTCTATTCAATTATTTAGAGTTGAAGAAAGAAGCAATAGTATCAACATGTTTCCTCTGAAGCCCAAACGTTCTTGAGGAATGAATAACATATTTATATAGTAACCCATGCCAAATAGCCGGAAATGGAAACGAATACCTTCTAATGTATTCTGGATTGCTGTGAACCTCTAAACTCAATGTCAAATTGCACAAAATTGCTGACAAAAGCACTTTTTTGTGCAGTTAAATATATTGTTTTCCTTTCTGGCATTCTAGAGAAGTCAAAAACAACTCCATCCTGTTGCTATTTAATTATATTAAAGCTTAAAAAAGTGAAAACTTCCACACCTCCAACAAGCGTATCTTAACTGCACTTGCGCGCTTGATAACATAAAAAGGTGTCACTGCCAAGCGATGGGGTAATGCTTCTAATTATGTTGAACCCAAATAAATAAATTATTTGCTTTTCACCAGGCGAGCGTGACAGGTTTGCCAACAGCCTGACAAATGGAAGAATCGTTTGCAAATGCAACACGCATATATAACGTACAGCGGTGGAGAGCCTCAGACAAGGCGAGAGCTTGACAGCCGTTTTTTTCCCCCTCCTGTGTTAACAGCCTCAGTGCTCCTCTCAAAATAAAGCTCTGTTTGAGGAGTATAAGGTCTGTGTTGCAGTAAGCCTGATTGTGCCAAGCCTGATCTGGTATTCATTAGTGCTTATTACTTGTGACCTCACCTGCAAGTCAAGCCTGTCACGATTAAGCCTGTTCCTTTGACACTTGCAAAACTTTCCTCTGTGGTTATGGAAGACGACACCAGACAGACAAATTACACAAACCGAAGGTTTCGGAGTATGAAGCGAGTTGTCATTGGGCTGCTGCACCGATTAAGTCTACAGTACGAAAAACAGAGACAAAGAGATAGGTAGTTTGGCAGGGGCTTTCCAAAGAAACCATTGTGTCTGTGGGAGGAAAGATTTGATTATTAGTTTTTGCCACTAGCACAGATGAGAGGAGGAAGTCTCAGTGGAGAATAAGGCGGATGCGTGGTAGTGGGCGTGGAGCCGGCAGTGAGCTGATGTTGTATTCAGCGCTCTCCAAAGGTCAACCTAAAACTGTACTGTTGTTCCTTAAGGATGAATGGCGTACATTCATTATATAGGCGCTCTGTTTAAAAACCCAGCAAGCTGCCAACGTAGGCTGCGTAGTAAGGCATCATAGGCCAGCTCCCAACACTGAGGCTGTTCCAAAAGATTGGCACCATGATTATACTGCTATCTTAGATACTTTCTTTTTGGTAGCTTAAGCCTAGAAGGCAATCCCAGAATTCATTGTGAGCTCTGTGGGGGGAAAAAAGATGGTGGACGAAGCAAGAAGAATTACTGTACTATATTCAATGCCAAAAGTATTGATAAAAACATTTAAATCCAATTAAATGCCAAGTTCTGTCATGAAACTCTAGATGGTGCAGGCTGATGGGTCGTTAACGCAAATTGATGATATTCACAGCATTAAACAACTTGGCACAAGCTGATTGGTTCATGTTGCATATGCAGCCAATGAGCTTACTGCTTTACATTTAAATGGCTGGTTAGCATTCACTAGATCAGTTCACAGCACGCTTTCGAGTTCCTCTGAAACCCTCCACCTTCCCCAGCTCCACCTGTATAGATCGCTACCTGTTACATTATATGCTATTTGTGCAGTAGCAGTATGTCTTAAATACTCACAGCACTGTATCAGCATATGTATTGGCAGTAGCAAATTCCTGTACTTGATTTACAGCAGAAGCAGCAGCAATAATCTACAACAACAGCAATAACCAACAGCAGCAGCAATTTAGCAGCATAGCAGATCTATTCTGCCAAGACCAAATACATTAGTATTGTCATATCCATTACCATGCTAAAATCTTCTGAGAGTTGTTATGATAGAAATACAGATAACTTACACAACATTTGTGTTCTATGGGATTTTGCTCAATAGAGTATCATGTTGTATGCTAAGTAACATGCTAACGGCAAACTCTATGGAAATAACTGTGAGTCTCTCCTGTGCTTCATGAGAGAAATGCTACATTTTAAAGGAGAAAAGGCAATCCCAGAATACATTGTGAGCTCTGTGGTGGGAAAAAACTATCCATGATGGTGGACAAAGCAGGAAGAATGACAGATTTGACCAAAAGTATTGATAAAAAAAAATCAATTAACATTTCAAATATTTGTGTTCAGTGGGGTTTTATGGTCATTAGAGTATATTCAAAGTCTCTTTAAGACAAGTCATATCGGCGGCCATCTTTGAAACGCCTCTCGGGCATCCAAGTGCAGCTCCTATCTCTCTGAATGGGGAAACATTAAATTCTCCAAAACTGTTCGACTAGCGGAAGAATAATTTTTTTAATTGTTATAAATATATAAATATTATAATATTTGAAATCAACAATGAAATCGAAACGCTCGAATCATGACAAAAAAATTCATTTTTTTCAGTTTGACCGAGCTAATGCGCATGCGCACACGACAGGAACGAATTCACGACACCAACCTCCTTTACAGCTGTTTCTGGAGGACGCGATCAGATGTCATCATGTCGATCAAACCATGGAAGATTTGTTTTTTTGTTGATTTTTTTTGTCTGTTTTGCAATGGAAAATTCTCATTGTATTGTTCTTGTTTATGCCAATAATAATAATAAAAAAAATATATGGAAGATTTTGGTTAAAGTTCAGAGGGTTGTTTATATATATATATATATATATATAATAGCAGGTGACAGATTATGTTTTACTCAATGTCATGTACTTAATAAAATGGTTGAAAATTATACTGTCTGGTTTTGTACTCTTGTGCTGCA